GTACAAGTACATTTAAACTGTACGACCTTATTTTTGACTCGACAAGACAAGAAACCATCGTTCTTAATAGTAGAGAATAAGATTGATGAAGATGAATGTTGGAAGCAGAATTCCATTCTGAAATAAAAAAAAAGTAACATTTTGTCCTGGATTCATGATGCTTTTTATTAGTTGTTATTGGCTTGGAACTAGCTTCTAGTTTTTGTAGTGATTGAGGTTGTGTTGCAGTGTTGGCTGTTGTGCCCCGATTTTTTGGCGTTTTCGCCTGTTGTGTCTGTTTGTTTTGCTCACACATTGTTGTCAATATAATGGAATTCTATGCGACTATCATACATGCAAGTGAGAGGTTTGGCTGGCTATAAAACCAGGTTTGATCCACCATTTTATACATAAGGAAATGCCTGTGCCAAGTCAGGAATATGACAGTTGTTTTCCATTCGTTAGATATGTTTGAGCTTTTGATTTTGCCATTTTATAAAGGACTTTCCGTTTTGAATTTCCCATCCGGGAGTTCGATATTTTTGTTATTTTACTTTCTAGTAAGTGTGAGTACTCACAGATCGGTTCTTTGTGTCTTTGGTGTTTATGTTACTTGATTAGTTTCCTTTGTATCGATCTGATGAGGCAAGTCCTTTTTAACTGATTGTTATAATTTGTTATTCTTTGTTGTGCTGTTACACCACTGCCCAGGTTAAGGCGAGGAGATGATTGGGAGCACGCAAACATATTTAACCCCGCCATATTTTGCATGTACCTGTTCCAAGTCCATAGTTTATAATACAGTGGCTGTCGTTTGTTACTGTATATCATATTTGTTTTTCGCTTATTGTTTGAACATAAATTAGGTGTTGGTTTTCTCATTTGAATTGCTTTACATTTAGTTTGTCGGAGCCTTTTATAGCTTTCTAAGAGGTATGGGTTTTGTATATTGTTGAAGGCCGTACGGCGACCCAAAGTTGCTAACATCTACGCCATTTGGTCTCGATTGGATAGTTGTCTCATTGGCTATCATAACGCATCTACTTATTATATATTACTATATGCTTTCTTAGGTCCTTTTGTATTCCAAATAAATCTTAAAGAAAATTGCCTTTGAAGTGCATTATATATATTAGCCTCGTGATTTCTTCATGCATGCGTGTTCTATAATGATAATATCTTAAATTTACTGTAGATGACTTATTTTCTCGAGCGATGTATTTTTGCGAGTAGAAGATCAACGTAATATATGTGAAGATCTACTCGTATGGGAACAAAACAACAACATTAGAAAATGTCGACAATATATTGCCTCGAAATAGGATAGAATTGGTTAAACGCGAGAAAAAAAGGTATCGGTGAACATATTTTTTGAACAGTATTTCAATAGTTGTATAATTTCTGTTTATTTGATCGTTACTCTTCCATCATATACGACAGGAATCACATAACTGAACCACGACGAACATGAACTAAACCATGACACTACTGAACCAAATTATGACACCTTATTTTCAGTAATCTTTATTTGTATGCAAATGTAGCTATTTTTCGGAATAATTGACGGCAGTCTTATATTATAATGAAATATGTGATGTAACAGACGGTAAACAAATACTTTTTAATGCATGGGAAACGAATACGCAACTTTTAAATTTTGACATACGCAAGCATCATTCTGTGTCAAATTATCAACTATATGATACACATTTCAATGGACTAACATATTAGTTATAGATAAAGATATTAACCAGCCTGGATTTATGTTCAGAAGTTCCGTTAGTAAGAAATCCAAATGTGTATATTGTGTCATTGTTTGTCATTAAAAACACACTTAACACAATGATCATGATCGAATGTCCAACTTAACCAAACTATGACAAAATCACTGTACTAAACGCTCATCGATATGACGACGTTACTACCCGTGAGTAAGTAAGTAATTAAACTTTATTTAGAGTCGGACATAATATGTAATGATTATCAGGTTGTGTGCATATTGATATTGTTAAATACCAGCTGCTAGTCACAATATGAAGCTTTTTGTCGACGGTGAGCACATCGATGCTCTTAAACATATTTACACTACGGATGCATACTGTAAAAATTGTGGCTTGTTTACAAGGATTGTTGAACAACTTTTAAAAAGCTAAGGAAAGCAAGTTAAAATGTTGATATTTATAGGATCTATTACTCATTAAAATAGTATGTAAACATCTATCGCTTTTGATAGAATTTCAGAAGGCAATTGATTTGTTAAGATAAACACATCTTTTTAAATTTCCCGGCAAAATGGCAGGTACGTGTCTCATTTCTCAAACTTGTAACGTCACTTCTACCGTTACGTTCAGTTTGACACGCGTCGTTCGTAAGCCGATTTAATAGCTGATTGATTGATTGGTGTTTAACGCCACTTTCACTGAACACTATTGGCTATTTGATGGGCGGTCAGTTTTAACAGTGGTGGAAGTCGGAATGCCCGGATATATAGCGAATTTTTTATAAGCGAATTCCAATTCTGAAGAAACTGGTATAACTGGTATAACAATTGTTGTAAACGTAGAATTCCGAGCGTTCATATTTATAAATAAACACCATCTTTGTAGAAAATAACACGATTTATTCACACTGCATGTATCATACAGACGTTACAAAGTTCACATAAGATACAAAACACACGGCATACACTCCGACAGTTCACACCATTTCAGTTATTGTGTTCATTCGTCAACAGTCCCATACAAACATCTCTCTCTTCTCACGTGCACGTCACTATCACACATCGTCAAAACACGGGAAACAACGTTAACACTGTATTGCATAATCACGAACATGTAGACAAAGTCATAGTCACAACATCAATCTTTGCTTTATATCAGTTTTAACCAATTTTTAGTAAGGAAATTTTTTGTTCTAGTCTGCATGTTATGCTGAGCGTTCTAATGGCGAGAAAGTTGATACAATATAAAAGAAAACTTTGCTTTTTTGTCGGATATCAAACATATGACCAAAATAATACTGCTCGAACTATTATATCTATGTCGACCGGATGGCGACCTAGTTCCCCGTAAACTATATAATTTGGTGTTGAAGATTTCAGATTTAAAATTAATTTACTGAATTTTGAATGTATCTTGCAGTGACCTTAATCAGCGCAAGTGCCGTGATGAAAGAAAAAGTAAACATACGCGGAATTTATAATTAATTTGTGTTATAATTGATCTGAAAGAAAATTTTAATACACCAAATAATTTAACAACCGTTATGACAAAGTTTAATTAACAAATATAAAAGCATGGGAAACCAATCTAATTAAAATATAGATCTCGGATTTCGTTATACTACGTTATACTACATACGTATATCGTAGTATAACGAAATCCGAGATCTATATTTTAATTAGATTGGTGGGAAACATTAAAGAAATCAACATCGCTCTATTTCATGTCTATCATCTCACATATTTTTCATGTGCTCCGTTATTCTGTGTTGTCTCGAGTGTTTATTAAGGTCACGTTCGGAAAATTCGGCAACAAAACACGGAAGTTAATTGGCATGGACAAGTTTTCACTGAATGACATACCTTTTTTTTGTTGATTATAAGTTATGGATACGCAATAAATGTAAAGAATCATGCATAGAGGACTTAGTTTAGAGCATAATTATAACGTGACGGTACCTAAATTGCACCTATTTTGACAGTTTTTTCACCTACGTTTATTTTTTGATCCAGACAAAAGTTTCCATTCTGTGTTTATTTTGTAGATGTATCCTTTTTTTCTAGCATAGTTACACCAATTTAATTTTGAATCTATATTGAATCATAGAAAAACGGGTTTGAACCGACCTCCAAACGATCAATGATTCTGTAATGAGGAGTACCCAAATTACATCCATGCTTAAATTCACATCCTTAAAAATCGAATAACAGATGTTTTGTTTTATTTCTTCAAGTATTTAGAACAATTTGACATAAGTCCATGCTTAGTATTCATTTTAAGAAATGGTTGCTTATAACATATTTTATTTGCTCATTTTTAAAAGATGACTTTTTGTGGACGTCGCCATGCGACGTTTCCGTAGATTTTACTTTTCCAGTGAATACTTCATCTGTTGATATATACTGAACGTTTTGTGTATATTTAGATATATTTACCTATGCTGAAAGACGTGTATATAATGTCAAATCATAAAAACGCAAATTGTTTGGTCTCAAAGAAAACTTGTTAGATTTCCGCTGCTATTTTTGCTGAATGGGTGCAATTTGGGTACTGTAACGTTACATGCATTGATTCAATATTTTTCTTAACGTTACAAAATTCGGGACACTCGTTTCGTATGCATGTATGCGGACTTATCTGTTAACACATCTTCTTATTTCCATTATGAATTAGTAAGATTGGAGTCGATGTCGTTCGGGATTCGAACGCACAACCGCAGTGCTGACAGGCTAGTGATACAGTAGTTTGACTAATTAGACCACTCGGCCACCGAGGCCTCTATTTTAACCCAGATTAAACAGATTAAACTACTTATATTCACTTAAAATGATTTATAGTAGCTGAGATCACTTAAACCAGAGACATATTGTATTATATGTCTCTGCTTAAGTTGTCCTATAATATAAGACTTCGGAGTTTCATATCATTTACATTCAACGTTTTTTATCGGATATTTTTTTTTACTATCAATGTTGAAACCCCATTGATAGTAAAAAAAAATATCCGATAAAAAACGTTGAATGTAAATGATATGAAACTCCGAAGTCTTATATTATAGGACTACACTTAAACATGTTAACAGATAAGAATTGTGCTAATATACTGGGGGAGTCTTTTTCATTTAGAATAATACAATCGTGTGTATACAAGACGCCTTTCATTTTTGATTTATTTCTCTATAGACTAATTTTATTTTATAAGCGTTCGCAAGGATTAGTACAGGCACTATACTAATCCTTGGCGTTCGGGACTAACTGTATTTCTTTTATACGATAGTGTCGCCATCTATTCCTATTTATATTAAACCGGAAGTATATATATTTTTTTTTTTATTTGGGATGTAACAACAATCCACGAAAATGACTTGGGAACGATCTGTCTGTTGTCTAAGAGTGTTTACTGTTATTGTAACTGCTATTTTATGGGTAGGTTTAAGATGTCAAGACATGCAAGACGTGTAGGATTGAGTCGATTCTACTCAATAAAAGAGCAAAGTTTCCGTCTGTCCTGCATAAAATTATCATAATGAAAGAAAGAAACATTAAAATTGATTGATTTAAAAAAAATATTTCAAGAAACCAATCATAGATTGCACTGATCATTGTGTCACAGCTTAACCCATATGCACGAGAGAGTGTCTTTTCGGAAAACGTTAACAAATGCATAACAATAAATGAAAAAAACCAACGAAAACATCATCTGTGATTAATGTATTTTCGATGTATCTTTCTTCCAACACACACCAGGCCTTACATTCATCAAAACTTTGAGTACTGCTATCATACTCCGGCTTAGTCCAAATAATTATGACGTCTTGAAAGGCTATTTTATTTTTTTAAAATTTTTTCTGTGACGCCTTCCTATGACATCCTAGGAAGGCATCACAGAAAAAAATTAAAATAGCCTTTCAAGACGTCATAATTATTTGGACTAACTCAGACTCAGTAATCAACCAATCAAAATACTAGATTTGGTGTTCAAAGCACAAATTGTATTCTGAATTACAAAGCATGTTACGTATTGAGATGAAAGTCCAAGAACCAAATTTCAAAGGCAAATTTTTGGAAGGAAGTGTAAAGCTAAATCTATCAAACTTCTTTGTTTAGGGCTGGAAGTACTTCCTTCCAAAAATCTACAAGTGTCAAATTAGTGATGTGTACATTTGTATATGTGTCTCCCTCATTTTTAATAGAAATGCATCTTTATTTTGAAAGGTATTTGGTATTTATATACATGTACATGATATTTGTATTCATGTGTGTCATACATGTATTATCAAGAATGTAGTTCATCATGTTCATGTACATGTAAATAAATGGTAAAGGAGAAGGTCCGGTAAGGGCTAGTTTTGGCCTAAAATTCAAAGTACACCTGAAGAAAGATTTTTGACATTTTTTAAACACTTAAGTGTCTTCTTCAGTCGATTCAGTTAGTTTATGTAAAAGATTTGAACTGAGTTGGTTGTTTAAGATGCTCAAATTCAAGCTTGAATATCATGAATATGAAAAATCTATCGACATGATAAAATTTACCATAAAACGTCACTTTTCAGATGGTTTTTTGTCTGAAATGTAAGTGGCCGCATTCCTGTTCAGTCTCAACCTTTATATTATAATATGTTATGTGTTATCATCAAATACAGCATATATTTAAATATTAAGACTGAACACAAATGCGGCCACTTTAAATTTAGACAAAAACCATCTTAAAATTAGCACAAATGCTAAAATTTTGAAGATTTCAGTAATTTTGCATGAATTCAATGTGCTAGTACCTAATGCATGTGCATTGTATTGTAAAATAAAAAACAGTCCATATTTATGGTATAAAAGTATTCTACTTTCCAATAAATAGTTAAAGTTTTATTTTCAAGAAATTTGTAAAATGGTTATATTTTGGGGCCAACATGGCCAAAAAGGGGTCTTACCATGCTAATCGGGCCTACTCCTTTATCGAAAAATATTAAAAATTAAAAACCAATTGTTCAGAGAACAATTGAAGGTCTTTCCACTCATAAAGATCTATTTTGAAATAGAACTATTAAAATTTGGTTTAAAATATCATATTCAGCGTTTATTGATAGTTTATTGTACACTGATTCCAAAAATACATGATTTCTATACATTTTTTTCAAAATAAGGGAGATAAATTGTTACTTCCGGTTTGAAAGATGTCACTTCCGGTTTTATTTGATAGTTTACTTGATACTGATTCCAAAAATATATGGTTTAATATACTTTTACATTAATAAGTACAAAAAATAGCTACTTCCGGTTTACAAAAGGTCACTTCCGGTTGGCTTTTCCATGGTCAAGAGGCTTGCAACGTAATGCAAAAAGTCCTATGGCTTTATCACGTATACTAACGAGGAAAAAGCAAAGGTCAAAATCTAGAACGTCAAATTTACCTATGACCTTTAGCTCAATTTCAAGGTCATAAACCGAGGGCTTCAAATGAAAAGACCATAGTTCTTAATTATATATGGTTAATGAGTTATATCACTTTACGTCTAATTTTTAACATAAGAGGGGAGAAAACTCCAATTTAATGTTAGCGTACCATTTCAACCAAAATTTATGTGTTACGACATGTCGCAACTTACAATTTAGTAAAAATATCTTGTCGATATCTTATACGGTTTTTGAAAAGAAGTGAAAATAAGCCAAAATCAAAATTTAAAATATGACCTTGACCTCTGACCTTGACCTTACTTTCTTTTTTTTGGATCAAGGACCTCAAATCAAAAGATCCTAGGTCTCTATCACTTATGGTTTACAAGATAGAAATGCATATCACTAATAACAAACGCATAAGGGGAAATAACTCTCATATGGAGTGTTCATATTGCTTCGGTCAAAGTAGGACAAATCATGCGAAGGATATAACGAGCAATTTTATAAAATAGATTTGTCGCTTTCTTTTACGGTTACAGAGGATATGCAGTCACAAGGAAAACAGTGTTCGGGGAGATAACTCCTACAAAGAAAAGTATTCGGTTACGCAGGGTGAATTTCAAAGGCGCATAAACTGTTCGATATCATATACCAAACATCTAAGCGACATCTTGCGAAACAAAATTTAAACGCAAGAAATAAAAGTGGCGGAAGAAGAAAAAAAAAAAATAATAATAATCAGAACAAATACAATAGGTCTTTCCACCGAAAAGTGGAAAGACCTAATTATAAACATTGGCTATCATACGACATCTTCTTATTTTTATATGAAAATAATTTTGAAACTAATTGATAAGTACATGTGTAGGCTCGAGCTCATTTATCATGTTTATACATGTATATGAATTATAGGGAAGTGACTTCTCTTTTTGAAACTAATAAAGAGAAGTGGTCATGCATAAATATATGAGACTTAATATAATGCTTCCTCCTAACAGGGCTATAATGTTTACATGAGCAATGAAATATCTTGCTATTTGCATGAAATTGATTTGTGTCCTATTCATATTTAATTCTTTTATGTATTTGTAGAAATTCAATTCATTTGAATTTTCATGGCTTAACATGCTTAAGAATACCTATACAGCTCAGCTGTCTCAGTTTTATGTTTCTTATACAATGTATAAATGCATGTATTTACACAATAATATTTTTTTTAACTTGTCAGGAATTACAAACTAAATATTAAGCACTGTTGCAGACTTGAAGGAAAAAAATGAAAATGATAAAGAATTCTAATTTTTCATCAAAAAAACTGTCTTTCAGTAAAAAAAAGTATATATTTAACAAAATTAGATACATGTGTATGTACAAATGTATATATGTAGTTAAGATGGTACAAATTTTGATCGTTATATATTAGCCAGACTTTGGACTGTGGTTAATATAATTTTCAATGGTGGCTGAACAAAAAATGACAAAAATAAACAATATTTGACAAGTATTTGGATAGGAGCATGAGGAGTATGTTTTAATGCAATAAATCAATAGATTCAATGAATTAGCATGCATGAAATGACCAGACTCTATTAATAACTACACGCAGTTTTATTCATGGTTTAATGAAGCTAAGTAACAAAGCTTATTTTGCTAAAAAATCAGAATCTTTTTAATGTACAATCAGGATACGGAGGTCAAAGAAAATGCTATTATTCGTTTGCATTAAAAAAATTTGGTTATGTTGAAATAATTTACGACCAGTCTACAAAGTCAACATGGTCAATGCTTTCAAAACGTTTGTAAAGAAATAAATTGTCTGTGCTTTTGAATTTCTTTAACTAAAGAAAAAAAATTGCCATGACATCAACTTGATGAAAATGGAAAATGACCAAAAATGAATGCCATGAACACATATATATGGGCAACTAGATATAGTTTTTGGTGTCAGCAAAAAATTAAGTGATTGATGTAAAGCTACACGTACTTCATGACGTCATCCTAGTTGCCCAGATATGCCAGAAGTGTGAGCCCTTAATCATGATAACAGTGAATGTGCAGATTTAAATAAAAAAAGAAAAAAATAGTTTTCACAGCTTGGCCCCATTTACCTAATATTAAACTAAGTCCTAAACCTAAAATGCATACCAAAGCTTGAACTAACATCTAATAATGTTACTCTGCTCACAATTAGTAGATGCTATAAACAGTCAGGGGTACTACTTAAACAAGTGATTTCAGAATCACTCCCTCGAGTGATTTTGGCTGTGAAATATTAAAAATTTTCTCACAGACTTTTTAAAATCATTGAAACAAGTAATTTTAGAAGTTAAAATGTAATCACTTTAATAAGTGTTTATAACATTTTCTTGATATTTTTCCCACAAGCTTGTTTTTTTTATTGGTAAAAAGACAACAATTCCATTGAAAAAACAACTATGTATATGCAGAAATTGTCTTTTGCTTGATAAGCCTGACACTTTTACAGTTTTTTTAAAATATGCAAAAACTGGAATAGTTTGTAGATCAGGTCATAACCTTGAAGTAGATCATTCTAACTCTAAAGAAAACCAATCAGGTTACCTAATATTGTTGATCTTTGTCTGATAGTAAGAGTAGTTAATGAATTTTTGATTACAGAAAAATTCCCAAGGGTACTTTTAAAAGCTTTAGCGCACTAACTTACTGCCCAAGCGCACTGGTGAAATTAATATACAAAGAAAAAGGGATAATTGATTTATGTAGGAAAATTATAGAAAAGATTGTGAAAATATGGAAAATCAATGAAATTAGCATTTGAAGATCAAAGAAAACACTAAAATCACTTAAATAGGTGATAACTGAATTTATCAAATCACTGAAATAAGTGATGATGAAATCACTTGTTTAAGTAGCACCCCTGACTGATAAATATAGTGATACAAGATTTTTGGACATGTTCGTTACATGTAGCTTATACCTGTAATAATACAGTTTTATTGTTTTAATTTTTTTGTGAAGTGACAGGCTTGAAAATGTAAATTATTGTACTGAGTACATAGGAAATTGTTTCTATGAATTGATTGATGCTTCACTACGTGTTCAATCATGCAAATGTCCTTATTCAAACCCATGAAAAGTAATTTTTTTTTTCTTTTGACTGTTTTCATGATTTTCATAACATGATGTTGTAAACCACATCTGTATGACTGTAGGCAAAATAGGAAATGATGAAAGTGAAAAGTTTAATCTACGCTAAAGTCAAACAAGCTTTTTGGAAAGCTTTTACTTGGGCCTGAAAATAATGATTGTTTTACTAAGTATATCTATATCGGAAATTGTTTAAATGAAAGGATTGATGCTTCACTACATGTACAATGTACTTCATGTACTTATTCAAACTCATGAAAAGTTTGGGTTTTTTTTCCACATGATGTTGTAACACACCTGTATCATGTGTATGACTGTCACATGACTATCTGTAGGCTAATTAGGAAATGATGAAAATGAAAAAATGACAGATAATGTTAGGTGAAATATACATCACAGTTGTAATTTACATGACATTGTGATGTAATAATATGGGTTATTGATTTCATATAAATTGGATAAACATCAATAGGATATCCAAATGAATTTATTATTGGTCATACATGTATAATATAATGACTGTTATGGTTATTGTTATTTTTTTTATTACATACATGTATTCATTGTATTTATACTATATGTACATATAAGTAATAGAAAATTGCAATATTTATTAAGGGGTTTCCAGCACTTTGACTAAAATAGATTTGGTTCGTTTAATTTTCATAAAATTTTTGACTAACTATTTACTTTGACCTGTTGACAAAAATTTTAAATATCCAGAAATTTGAGCCAACTCAATTTACAGAAATAATTTCATTGGATATATATAATAATACATGTAGCAGTTTGACAAACACTAATTTTGAACATTTAGAAGCATGATTTCTCTTAAATACTTATCACTGCTTATAGTGTGTGATTAAAACATTCAACTGATATAAGTCCCTTCTGTATGTGTTCTGTACCCTTTTAAATGTCTGATGACCCATAAAAGTAAAATTAGTTAAGGTATTTATTTTTTTTTAAATTATATCGTTATAGATAAGATGTTCATTCTCTGTAAGTAAAATCACATTCTAATTTTGTTTTTAAGCATATATGTCTATACATTTGTAGAGCTAGTATACTGTCATGACTGTTGATGCATTATTATTCCTGGGGTTCTATTTTTGTGGATTTCATGGGAATGGGTAAACAACGAAGGACGGGGTGATAAGGGCCAATTTGGCCCCCACCCCCAAATTTCAATTAACTTGTCATGGTGTTACTCTATACCACAGACCTTCTGAAAATAATGGCATTTTGGGTCTATCTTGTATATTTTGTTGCCTAGCAACCAGTATAATGCAGGAGATAAACTCATTAAATATGCTAAATATACAGCTTATAATTTTAAATCTATTTATATTTGAAATCCATCCTGTTTAACATGCAGTAAATGATACATTGGAATCCATGCACAGTGTAAGTGTCTAACAAAGTACAAATTTCCTATACTTTTATGCAGAATTTATCAAAACATCTATGCCCCTGCCTAAATCCTTCCCTGTTTTTGATAGCATTCGAATTGTCATTTTATAATTAGGTAAATATATTTTTACAAAACAAATAAAAATACAAAAAGTAAAGATAATAATGCCAATTTGAATTTTCAAATGTCACAATTTTATATTATTGGATCTTCACAAGTATGACCTTATTTACAAAATGTATAAGTTGTAGCCTAAAACATATTTTATATGTTGTGTGTACATTTTCAAATAGATTTGGATATGAAATAGCAATTTTTTTTTTTAATTAAAGCTCCACTGTCCATAATTATAATACTGTCTGTGGATCGATTATTACATGTATTTACATGATGCATACATGTACAAATTTTTGTTGGTATACATGTATTACATGGTAAAGGTAAACAATAATTTTCAATGTTTAAGGAAGTATAAGTTTTCTATAGGCTTTTATCATGGTGTACATGTATGTAACCTTTTGCAAACCACGAAATCAAATATTCAAGTGAATACAATTTTTCCTCAATCCACGAAAATTGGTACCAACGAAAATATATGAAATGAATCCACTGTATATTCTTTTATGCAATCTATGCAGATAGCACCATGGTACCTTGATGCAATTTTGCCCTTGGGAGAACATTGTATTTGTAACAGAATTTATAGTTTGAACACAAAATTGTAAATATTGAAGGTCACTAATCTGATACCTGTACATAATTTAAATTCTGAAATTTTTTGGTGCATTTATTACTGCTAATGTCATGAATGTTGAACAATTGCAAAAATGAGAGATAAATTATAAACTGCGAATTCAGGAAATGCTGCATAAAAATAATGCCATCAAAAGTTTGTAAGTCTGCGTAATCTATCGTGTTGCAATTTTTTGCAATGATAAAAAAAACTTCACAAACATTGACAAAAATTTCCAAATTTACAGTACTAGAAATTTCAAAAAAATGATTTATTGTTGAAATTATATCTACATCATGTACATGTAACATTTGTAATTACACAATGTGTATTACCAGGGGTCGAAATTAGCGCTTGTCCGGTGGTCCGGGACCAGTACAATTTACGTCGGACCAGTAGATTTTTTCAGCTAGTGGTCCAGCGGACCAGTTGAATTTTTTCGATAAAATTCTCTGATTGCATCACAATCTCAGTTTGTTTACATTACAAATTACCTGAGAAATCAATAACGCGATACTGGAGGTTTAAAAATTGATTACATTAATTAATATCTCTGGTGTTCGTCCTTCACAATAAACAAAATATGGAAATTTTCGGAAGGGGTTAAAACTTTCTCAAAATCAGGATGCAAAAACTTCTTTGACCAATGTATAATATATGTAAACAAAGGCATGAAAATAAAAGTAAGCATCTTTAATTTATGTTGGAGTTTGTCAAATGTTTTTTTTTCAGGACCAGTAGATTTTGTGCAGGACCAGTAGAGTTTTCAGTCCACTGGTCCGGCTGGCCATTACACAAAAAACCTTAAATTCGACCCCTGATTACAGGGATTTTCATGACCTGATTGCTGGCACACCACCATCGTTAAATATCATCCACCATTGTCAAATGATCCCTGCCATAATTAAATAACTGCGCTATGATTGCAAGGTGTAGTCGGCATTTGTTTTCGTTTCGTTACCCACCATCATTTTTGTTAGCAATTATAATCAATTGCATGCAAATGCATTACCCCATATGTATTATAATCCAAAAGGTCCCCCTGATTATCGTTTTAAAGCCCTGGAGATATCCAGCTAAGGATTGCTATTCACTTTACAGGTAGATCGAAACACTTGACATGCTTGACAGTAGAAAACATTGATCAAGATCATGAAGATAGACGATTAATTGCATCATTTAATTAATTTTCAGCAAATGCTTATAAATATTTTAGATGAAATAATAAAATTTAAATTCATAATAATAATAACATGTGTATGTTAATTGATCTATTTCAGTTATTTGGAGGTGGCATTGTTGGATTTTGTCTATGGGTATTGTTAGATTTCTTTATCAACCAGTATGTAAAGTCAGCTGATGAACTAAGAACTGTTTTCGTCATAGTCCATGTCATAATAGCAGTGGGCGTGGCATTACTCATATTTGGTATTATTGGTATATATGGGGCAGCTCGACCGAGACGATGGGCACTTATCATGGTAAATAATGATATTATATAATTAATAAGTATGTAAAGGATACAGAATTTCATAAAAAAGAATGAAAAGCTTGCTGTATCTTATTTAAACTGTTAAGGGATCCTGTACCACTGCATACAGTGTGATACAATATTAATTCGCTGGAGACAGTTAAGTTTTATAGTTTAAAATGCAAGGCTTGCTAAGCGTTCTAAATATTTAAAATTTAACTCTGAAAGATTGGAGGAATATTGTATTGTACAAGATTCGGTTGTGAAATCTATTTCTCTATTGATATAAGACGATATGTATACAAACTTTATCTTTCTCTGTTCAATTTTCTGCAAAAAGATGTGTTCTTTTTATTTGACGTCATCAGGCATTGTCACCTTTTTTTCATGACATCACAATAGGAAATGCAGAGGAAGAAAATTTGACATTATCATTGAATTTTGATCAATATAGAATTGAGATCAAATGAACCACAAGTTGATTTAAAAATGCTCTGTTGGTTTAATAAGGTTAGAAATCAGCTAAGAATTACAGAAAAATGGATTCATTACAGTACCGACATGAACTATGGGAAGATGTTATAGTACATACATGTATATGTTTTTCTTTTTTTCTTCGTAGTTAATTGATTGCAACATGATATTTATAACCATGCGTGATGACTTCACTATGTTTATATCAAGGCTAAACCATGCATAATATGGTTGTAGATGTATCAAAATATACACGTGTACAGGGACTCTGAGCATGGACCCTTTTTATACGACCGCAAAATTTTTGCGGTCGTATATTGTTATGACGTTGGGGTCGTCGTCCAAAGACACATTGGTTTTCGCACAATAACTTTAGTTTAAGTGAATGGATCTCTATGAAATTTTACCATAAGGTTCAATACCACAAAAGTAAGGTTGGGATTGATTTTGGGGGTTATGGTACCAACAGTTAAGGAATTAGGGGCCAAAAATAAGCATTTTTCAAGTTTCCAGACAATTACTTGTGGAACAGTGTATGGATCTCTCTGAAATTATACCACAAGTTTCCATACCACAAAGGGATGGTTAGGATTTTCTTTAGGGGGTTATGGCTCAAACTGTTTAGGAATTAGGGGCAAAAAAGGGGGAAAAACAAGGGTGTCCTGGTTAATGGACAAATACTTTAGTACAAAACATAATTTAAAGCAGTGTAAGGGAGGTAAAGATAATACATCATGTGAATTACCTCCCTTACACTACTTTTAAATTATGTATAAAGTAATGGTTAATGAACAATTAAGACAATTTAAAAGCAGTGTAAGGGAGGTAATCCAAATACAACATTTTTATTACCTCCCTTACACTGCTTTTAAATAATGTTTAAAGAAATGCATATTTTTAAAGGAAGACCAGTAAAAATATCTGCAAATGTTGCATCTTTTTTTTTTATACAAAAAAATCCATATGAAAGATTTGACACCATATTTTAAATTCTTTGGTAAATAATTGGGTAATTATGGTTGCAAACTCCATTGGAAATTTGAATTGAAATTATGACCATATCTTGAGGGAAAGAATTTTTTTGGGGGGAAAAGGGGGGGGGGGGGTAAAAAGCAACAGCATAGTGTATTGCACAAAAGCCAAAAAAAAAGGGGGGGGGGCAATTTTTTTTTTTTTTTTTTTTGTGGTGGGAGGGGGGGTCAATTCACAACAGCAAAGTGTATTGCACAAAAGCAAAAAATTGAATATAAATTCAAATCATATAACCAATTCTAAGTTCTTTGACTACAGTTATTCTGTGTCAGAAACCTTTTATGTGTCAAATATTTAATTACAATCCAAATTCAGACCTGTATCAAGCGCGAATATTGCGTCCATTTTTCAGGGTTTGATCTCTGCGGTCGTATCAAGCTGCACTCGGCGAAGCTATTTATTTCATGTTTATGTGCGTGTGTGTTGTCAGTTTATTTCAAAGTCATAAAAATGTTACTGTGCAGTGTACAAAATACTATTGAGACATTGTTTAGTACAAAGTTCTTTAAATTTTTTATGTTACATGTATATATATTCGTTTTATGTCTTATTTGAGTAAAGTGACATGAATTGGTATTTTGACACTTTTATGATGAGTAATATAGCAGGTTTAAACAAAATAAAGAACATGTAAAATGAAAAGATTTTTTTTAAATCATAAATTGACCCAAGAGACATGATAGATGGAAAGTTCATTTAAAAAATTAATTTTTGAAATACAAATCTATATGCACTATACAATAAAGCATGGACAAATGATGGACACAGGATCTGTAATACTGTATTTCAATCTATGTTGGGTCTCTTCAATCCATTTTATGTAGGAATGAGCAGCTTATACAACCAGTACCCCCACCCTTTTCATATATTTTTAATATTCAAAACATATCCTGCATATCATATATATTTTATTGCTTTATCATGTTTATTACTCTATTTCATGAAGTTAGAATAGATTTGAAAAATATCTGATGCAGGACTGTACTTTTAATCCCATCTTTAATAAATACTAACATTTGATTAAGTAGTTTCAGATACTAATTATGATATGATCAGCAACTTTATATTATCATAAATATATTTAATCTGAATTCCTTCCCCTTACATCATGTACATCCTTATCATATATTATAAAGATGAAGCTTGATATAGTAACCTATTCCAGCGGCTCATCCCTACCTCCCATTTATGATGAAATAGTAAAATATACACTGAGGATTTGTCCCTGAATAAATGTACAAACAAAAAAAAGTAAGAAAATGCCCCTTAATATTTGCTTCTTTGAGTCCTGAATATAAAGTTCACATTTGTACACAATTAATTTCTTCATAGTCCGTTTTTATGTAATTTTCAAATTTCAGTTTTTAATTTGCCTGGTTTGCGTCACACTGACTCTTCTAGGAGGAACGATCTACTGCTTTTTCTACCAAGCTGAAGTAAGTATGAATGTTGACCATAGAAAGTTGTATGTTATATATTAAATCACAAATTTTTAGTGTGACCTTGCTCCATTTTTAAAAGGCCTTGCCTGGTTTGCCATCGTGTGATGGCTATAATATTTTGAGCTCATTATATGAGCTGCATCAGATAGAAATCAACCTTATGCAAGTGCATGTATACATGTACACACTTTGATTGATTTTGGAACATTCAAATAAAAGATGAATTTTGGTCAGTTTTGTAGATTTTCTTATAAACATGACAAAAGCTCAATTTTCAAACAGTTACAGACTTTCAATAGAGATTGTTATGCCCCCGCTGTTGCGGAGGGGGCATTAAGTTTTACCCTTGTCTGTTTTTCTTTTCAGTGGCATATTTATTCATGAAAACTCACCTTTAGCACACTTCATGCAGGCAGCTATCTCAGCTGTGTATATTCTATTAAATAAAATGTGTTAAAATCATGCATTATATACCTACATGTATGATATATATATATATATACATGTACCATTTGTGACTAATTTATTGGAAGGAAATTGCAATTTACATTTTGTATATAAATTTTCACAAAAACAGGAAATGTAGATATTGTTTCCAAAATTTCCAATTTAACATGTTTAATGCAGTTGAATATTTTAGGTACATGCATGCATGACATGTAGATTTAGATCTTATCAGTAACACATATTACAATGAAATTTTAGTTACCTTGAAATACTATATAAACGTTTCAAGTGGCAATTTGAGGAGCACTTGAATCAAGAGGTATTCGACTGTGGATATATATCACTAATACTCTCATTATAATATATATTAATTCAGAAACAAAGGTGCAGGATTGTATAAATAGAATACGTGAAATGAGAAGGAGGAGGATGTGGTTTATATATCATGTTTATATTGTTTAGATCTTTAAACATGTTGAATAACTAAGTGTTATTTTAAAATTTACATGTACTGCACAAAGATCCATTGTTCTAGCTAGGATTTAAGTGTAGAGTGGCAAACTTTTAAGATGTGGGTCATGTAGCAGACCTGCCAACTTACATGATTTATGGGGGATTTCCCCCATGAGAGGTGTTGACATGAATTTTGAAATTCTTTATTATATAAACTGAACACCTCAAAACAAGCTTTCAAATGAGTTAAAAGAGTATTTAAGCATATACATATACTCACTTAAATAATAAAATACTAGATTAAAAACACTAATGACAATATAAGAGGAGCATTTTTATGAAAAGTTGGCAGGTGTGAAGCTGGATTTCTTGTATGATTATGCTAAAAAGGGACATAATGTTTCTAGACATGCTAGATGAAAAAATTAAATAATTGAATAAATTAATGAATTGTTGCTGGATTTGTAGTTAATTAGAGTTGAATTTGTCACTTACTATATGTACATGTACTAATGAATAATAGTATAACTAAATTTGGTGTATAGTGATCCATATATGAGACTCTTGTACATGTAAGGTCTACAAATCCATCAGACAGTGTTCATCTGACATCGACCTTTTTTCTTGCTAATTAATTATGGTATAGAAATAACATCATGAAAATATTGCCTCACATTAAGGAGGAGTATGTTAAGTGCCAATATTTGGCCCCTGAAATTACTTATTCAAGCCTCTTAGAATGAAGTCAATTTTATTGATAAAGGATAACTTCGTACATAAAGGTCACATGTGATGTTAAAATTAAGGTATATAGACATGATAGACATGACTAATTTAGGATTTTTATGCCCCCGCTGTAGCGGAGGGGGCATTAAGTTTTGCCCTTGTCCGTCTGTACGTCCGTCCGTACGTATGTCCATATGTCCCAAAGTTGGTTTCTGTACTCTAACTTTAGTTTGCCTCAACGAAATGTTCTGAAACTTATACACAATGCTTATTACAGCAAAACACAGATCAAGTTTGAATTTTGGTGGTGTCACTTTCACCGTTCCAGAGTTATGCCCCTTTACAAATGGAAAAATTGCTGCATTTTTCGTTTCTGTTCTCTGAATTCAGTTTGTCTCAAGCAAATGTTATGAAACTTATACACAATGCTTATTACCCAAAAAATCAGATCAAGTACAAATTTGGGTAGAGTCACTTTTACTGTTCTAGATTTATGCATGCCCCTTTACAAATGGAAAAATTGCTGAATTTTTCGTTTCTGTTCTCGAACTTAAGGTTGCCTCAACCAAATGTTATGAAACTTATACACAATACTTATTACCACAACACTCAGATCAAGTACAAATTTGGGTAGCGTCACTTATACCGTTCTTCAGTTATGTCCCTTTATAACTTTATATGATATGCAAGCGGGGGCATCATCTGTGTCCCATGGACACATTCCCCATTTATTTTTACCTATAATGGCTATTTCACATTTACTTTTGGTTAGATTACATGTAAGAAACAGCTTATACAAATGTATTTTACCCAAAAAAATAGTTTAAACACATTACCGTGATTACCAGTTACATCTTTGTAAAATGCATTTTGTACCAAATCATATTTTGGGTAAAGCTGTTGGTCATATCTAAATTATGATGACAAGATCTCAAAATGAGGCTAGTTTGTCAGTTTTTGATGTTTTCACAAAAAGTAAGAAGTTTGAAGGCTGTATGATCACTGTATGTCAATATGTAATACAAAATTCAAAAACATAAACGCTGATAATCAACAATCTAATATTCTTATGAAAGATATCAAAGGGACATTCAAACTCAAAACTCATAAGTCATATGAAGGATGTTACATGTATTTGGTAGATTTATTATACTTTTGGATTTACGAATTCAAGGGGCAAAAAAATGGTCTTATCATACATGTACCTTCATCCTTTGATTATAGAAGGGGCCTTGATGTCAGAGTGGTCTGAATAGTTCATCTACTATATCACTAGCCTGTTAATACTAACATTGTGAGTTCGAATCCTGCACATGGCAGTTTTTCTCCAATCTAATTGACTAGGATCATGAGGATTGATAGTTTTGTGGACGAAGGTCATGGTTCTCTCCCATCACTCAGGCTTCCCTTAGCAATAAAAATTGACTGCCATGATATGGCCAATAGTGCTCAAAGTGGCGTTAAAAACCAACAATCATTTGGTTAAAGAAACATCATAATCATGATAATCAATTAAAAAAAACACATAGAAATGAAATCCCATGAAAAAGGTTGGCCCTAGAACATGTAGAAGTTATGATATTTAAACACATGAAATGAACCTCTTTACAGTAGTGTATACCTGAGTATAAAGGTCACCCTTAGGGCCAGAGAAAATTGACCTTTGATTAGCAGTGACCTTTGATTTGAGGTTCAAAATCTATAGGTATTACTACAGCTTGACAATAAATTGGTGACCTGCTAAAACAAGTTTTCTTTTATTGGCAGTTTTGATCATAAAATTATATTTTATTTTTGCAAATGAGTAAGGATTTTTTTTTTCCATTTCAGATTAAGCAGAGTGTTAAGGATTCTCAGCTTATGGCAAGGATTATTAAGAAAGAATATGGTTCAAATAGTGCAGTTACCAGTGCATTCAATTACATGCAAAGAGAGGTATACATCGATTTTAATATGAGTGTTTTGATTTATAACCAGGCTTTCTAAATGAAAACTTCAGTCATTAAGATTGTGAATTTAGTACTGCAGGGAATTTAAATGGGTTTTCTGAAAGCAAATCCTATTAATAAAATGTAGAAGAACAATCTGGCCAGAGGCTCAAGTCAAGTCATGTTCAAGTTTTATTGTTACTGCTCAGGAGTTATCACTGGTAGACCTATTTGGAAAATGCCCGCGATTTTTGGCTAATCTCCGCGAAACGGATAATAATTAGAGGTTCATCGTAAATTTGCTGTATTACAGAATATTATGCATGTTATCCGGAGATTTTCCGTGTCGGCGGGAATTAGCCGTTTGTCCGATAAAACGGGTGTGTATTGAGTCAGTGATAGAACCAGTGATGCGTGAGCGACGGTTATTAATAGATCGTTGTACATAGATGATTATAGAATCCGTTATGCGTGAGCGACGGTTATTAATAGATCGTTGTGATATATACAATGTTTACAGTCAGATTAAAAAAACTATCTTATTTCCCTTTTCGTTCGAGATAAAACGGTGTTTGATAATAAAGTAACTTACGATATAAATATCAAATGTTGTCATTGTTCATTAAAGAAAAATCTATTTTAATGTGACCAATGAACAAGATGAATACATGTGTTATCTTTGCAAAAGACAACTACAATTTTTTTAATATATGAATGGAAATCGTATTTACGTTAAAAAACGTACACTAATCTACTATTCATGATAGATTCATAATGTGAATCGATAGTTTGGGTCAGAAACTTTGTTCTCACTTTAAAAAATTCTTCACAATTGTCATGTTTAGAAAAAAAATCAGTTCTCCGGAAGATACTGTAATCGGGTAGGATGTCAAACTGATCTGACACTTGTCCTAGTGTATTTAACACCTGCTGTGATATTGCTTGTGCAATACCAGTGGAAGGTCGTAAATCAATCTGTACCCGATTGATCAGAATTTAATTTTACCTGTACATATATTTAGTCGTTACGGAGGATATCATAGATACATGTTATATATTGTATTGTAATTAATGAAGATAATTTAAATATATTATATAATAAAGACCTATTTGCATATAAATCGAACATATTCATTCCAACCAAGAAGGTTTGAAATTGAAAGTTTTCAACAAACTTTTGATAAAATCTTTCCCGTAAATTACATACGAGTCATTGGTTTATAGTTACACATTTGTAACCATTCTAACGTCTTATTTCTTTGTGCTATTAAAAGAACTCAAAATTTTCCATATCAGATCACATTTCGTACGAGTCCTAAAAATTATAATTGAATAATCTTCTCTTTTCCTTTCGACACCACGTTCCCCATAGGAGCCTCAAGATCTAATCATACCTGTCAATCATTAGCCACAAGTTGGTCCGCCAGATAGATCACTCGTGCTTTCTATTATGACATCGTTGAGAAGTTCTTGTAAATTGATTTGTGATATAAATAAAGTGATGTGAAGTTTATTTTACGGCCGATCAAAATTTGATGTGATTCGATTTTTCTTTTACACAAAGATGTTTTTTAATATCATGAATATGTCATAAAAGACATGGAAATAAAACATTTGAGTTCGTTTTTCCCGTAAATATATTCAATAAACCAAAATTTATTTCAAAAGGTAAACATTTATAATAATTACAAAGTTATAATTTGATTTTTATTTAAGTCGGTTAATGGAAACAATAAAATGACAACGTCTTTGCAGAAATATTAATCCAGACATTAACGTGCTTAGACTGTCCATTTGTTCCACTGTGTAGGACAATTTATTCACGAACTACATCATTAATAATTACTAATATAACAGTTGCTGAAATGTAAGTTGTATATTATTTATTTTTTTACAAACATGCGTTTTGGTTCCGTTCAGATTTGCTATTACAGCATGTGTAGATTCCTTGATTTTCATCTAGTTTCAGTTATATATATACTAGTTCCAGTCAGTATAGGGCTAATCATTTTGCCTTCCAACAAAGTCAACAATTTAGCATCGGACGTATACGTGACTGCGTATTTATACATCTCTATATGTTATATCTGATGTAATGGACTCCTAGTATGTTGTCCTTTTAAAGTTGGCTATACAATATTGGCTGTGCTCATTGTTGAAGGCTGTACAGTGACCTATAGTTGTTAATTTCTGTGTCATTTCTCTTGTGGAGAGTTGTCTTATTGGCAATCATACCACGTCTTCTTTTTTTATAACGTACCCGTTTTAATAGCAATGTTATATTCAAAACGGATGAGAAAACCCCATGGATGAAAATTATCTATATCCATGTCAAGTGGGGTTAGGTAATAGGAGCGGAACTTATTGATTATGTATGTTTGTGAGGGTCTGGATAGGATTTATAGAAGAATAGAGAACACAAATGGACAAAAAGTGCACAACATAGGACCAGAAAAGTAAAAAAAATAGCTGCCAAGAAAATAAAGAATATAGAATAATGAGAAAAAAATATGAAGAATAGAGAAAAACAGATGACTAACAAATTAAAAGACAATTAGGATTGAAAGACCTCCCCCCCCCAATATTCAAGACCTTCGTATGTGTTCAAAGAAAATCTGCATACGTTATAGTTCCTTGCTATAAAGTTACGTTCTCAAAGGCTTTTAAGGATTATGTACCCTTGTGTTGATTAAATGCTAAACATATGGATTTTTTTTTAGAAAATCCACAGCTTTTCCCTTGTACTGTCATATTTGGCGATTCGATGCTTTATTGATGAAGGATTATTGCATTCAGTGCTAGCAATGATTTTTTTAATTGAGTTATATATGTTTAAAATATTATAACAAAAATAAAATGCTTCGGCGCTGAGCGCAGCCTGATATGACCGCAGAAGTTGAACCATGAACAGTTGGGGCAAATTTTGACACAATATTCAAGCTTATTACTGTCTGAATTAGGATTGTCAGGGGTTAAAAAAATGTGTTACAGCTCACTAGCCCAGGACTTATTGGTAGCAGGATTTTACTAGCCCTGTTGAAAGAGCTGCTAGCCCATCAAAACTGACCTGCTAGCCCGAGTATACCTTTCAAATTTAGAGTGGATGTCCCTTGTTTAGAATCCGGCATTATACACGGTATTTGATTAAATAAATCAAATGAATTTTTGTTTTATTAATTATAACAGGGATCTCTAGACATCTTTTTGGATATCCCTTGTACTATGGGTTGTTAAATATTTTCGGGCACAGAAAACATGTTCATTGATATTGTCATGTTAAACCAGTGGTTCAATTAGTATATTTGTTGTTCCCACATACAAAGCAGACTTTTTATCAGCGAGATCGGGAAAATAACGGCAATATTCACAAAACATCATCTCTTGTTTATCATCAGTAACAGTCGACCTTGCCCATGGGGAATCTTTCTGTCAATGACACTATAAATGTTTTTTTCCGCTTTTCCTGGTCGTATTTGGCATTTTTTGGGATAAATTTTCAGCCTCATTACCCCCTTCATCTACCGTTTTTCGTTTTAAAACTGACAAAGTTCCTGTGGTGGCCGTACTAAAATGTTTAGAAATAATTTGTGCATGGTTTCAAGCTCAAATTAACAGCTGTCCGACAAGACAGGTCAATATCGATCATTACATCATACACCCAAGTACCATTAATTGAAAATCTCGGCATAAGCAATGTACAATACCCCCTGTACTGAGAAATTGATATTGAAAGTACGTGAATTGCGATCAATACATGATACCGGTCCACCCAGAGTTAGTTGTTCTATTTTTAAAACATGTACAAAATCGGTTCAAATTCTTGGAATCCCGGATGACGTACGTAATTGAATCTGATTGGCTAAGATAGAATAGCGATGAGGGGATTTTCGACTTACTATTTTGGAAATGCCAAGAATTGTTTGTTACTAGTCCGTCGGGCATATTCGGTTACAAGTTTTAATTGCCCGAAGTGTAAAAGTCTAGTCCCGGGGGTCGGGCAAGTGGATTTTTTAACCCCTGATTGTGATCAAATTTTTGACATAATATAGGTTTCTGACACAAAACATGTGTAAAGGTCTTTCAAATCTATTGGGCAATACTGTGCAATTAAAGATTTCTTCTTGAAACTTTTGAAATATTTTAAAATTTGAAAAATTTTGAAAAAAAAATTAAACCCCTTTTAAAAAATTGGAAACCTGTAAACTTTTTGAACTCACAACCCCCCCCCCCCCCCCACCCTTTGGAGCAATAACCTCAACACTTGATCCCAGTTTTCCTTTGTAGTATGGAAACTTGTAGTACAATTTCAGAAAGATCCATACAGTGACTTAAACACAAGTTATTGTCTGAAAAACTAGAATAACTAAAAAAATGTTTTTTGGCCCTTTTATGGCCCCGAATTCCTTCATGAATGGGGCAATTACCCCCAAACTCAATCCCAGCCTTCCTTTTGTGATGTGGATCTTTGTGGTACAATGTCAGAGAGATCCATACACTTACACACAAGTTATAGTCCAGAAACTACAAATGTGTCTTCAGACGAAGACGACAACAACCACATCATACCATTATACGATCCCCCCCCCAAAAAATTGGAATCGTATAAAAATCTCAGTCTTAAAATCTGTGGATTTTCTAAAAAAATCTTGGTTTTATTTTCACCAAATTTTCTTTTTCTACTAAATTCAATTAAACTATAAATAATAATGCTTTGCACGAAGTTTCCCCTTGGTATATGTACAAAATGGTCCATCTCTTTTTATAAATCTGGATAATTTCAGAAAAGGTATCAAAATTCATAGGGACTCCTGGAGACGGGACAATTTTTTTCAAGCCCTCTCCCTTTTCTCCAAAGTGCATTATTTTTTTTGTTTTCTGTTAAATACCATTATTTTGGCGTTTCTGTATACTATGAACATACATTTTATTATCAATAAAGTATATTTGATATAAACTATCAATTCCAAGTTTCTTCTACATGGCGATCACTGCTAAATTGATTTCTCC